TTTTTTTCTGAAAATTTCTCCTAAGGACTCATTTTGCCTGGCCTCATGCTACAGTGAAATTAAAGACCTACAGGATGAACTTGGGAGTGAATCTCTGCTGATTTTCCTCACCCAACTCCTGCCCCAGTGAGACCATCAATCTAACCCCAGTTTTTGCAACATACTGGATGGAAAGGAGGTCTTGAGGTAGGTAACATTTAGAAAAAGGAAGAAACGTGAGCAAGTGGCCAGCTCATTGTGTAGTGAAGGGATTTTTTTATAGTGTACTGCTACACTCATTTAGACTTAAGGTTGAATGAGCCCCAGCTGGAGACTGGACCACTGACCCAGAAGCTGGAGGTACCCAGTGACATGTACATGACTGGAAGCCTCCTTTTCCAAAGCTCAAACAGTTACTTTATTTTACATCTTTCCTCACGAAACATCTCACATGTGCAGGGAGGAAAAATCCTCTTCTGGTCAGTTCAGACAGTACTGATCCAGTGCTATTAATGCCCATGTTACAGCTCACTACAATGGTCACCTCCAGCCCAAGAGCTGCAAGGTGCAAATGCACCAGAAACCTCACTGTATTGACATGATAATTACTAAGGTTACTTAAGGTGAAACATAGCAGTCCTAAGGAAAGAAATGGTTGGATTTTTGCAAGACTGAAGGCAGACTTGCTGGTACTTCACATCCACTGTACACTCACACAGACATTGGTTAAATGTCTCAAAGAAACAGCAATAGCAACAGCATGTATGTCTAGCTCAGGCTGCAGCCACAATACATACTGCAGAGTCAAGTGCCCAGTATAACATTCCAATAGGTTTCTGAAGAAGGAAGCCAGACTGAAAGCCTTTCTTGCTCCTGTAGTCTACCTCATTACACAAAAATAATACCAGATTAACAAATACTTTTATGCTAACCTAAATATATTTCATTTGTATTGAAATGAAACTGCAGGGAATCTTTCTGAACTAAGAGCTCACAAGTAGAGCTCTTCTCCTACCAGCCTCCTACTGAATCACCTTCAGGAAACATACATTTAATCTATTGCTTTCAATATAGCAAAATGACTATTGACCTAGTGAAACAAACTCACAAAACCACCTGGAGCATCTCTTCCCTTGGAATAACTGGTCACCTATAAAAAATGTAGCACTCTTTCCCACATAGTAGGGTCCCTATCCTATGATAAAGAAGAACTCAAGAGTTTCTCTTGACAGTTCTTCATGGCTCTGCAAGATACTGGGAGCCTGTCCCAGTGCAATGAAACCCACTTATCTCTGGGCATAGAAGTACTTCTGTAAGAGATACAGAGACAACCATAAGAATTTTGTTTTATTGGACATAACTCTTTGAGTATGGGAAAGCTACAACAAAAAAATACATTCTGACTTTATGGAAGAAAACACCTCTAAATGCTGGATGGACAAGTGACATTACAACTCCTATAGAACCATGAGAGTTAAAGCTGTGGAAGCAGAGATCCTTTGCCTGCATTAGCTCTGGGCATCCTTACAAAGCAAATCTCTTCCAGGTTATGCCAATGGGGTATCTTGGTCCTGTCTCTCCACACCCAACAGTACTTAATCTAATACTTTTTCTATCACTGTAATTAGTTACCAGAATTACAACTACAACAGGCATATACATACATGCAAGAATTTATCTGTCCCCCATCAGATTTCTGTCCTAAAACCAGTTTTTAAAACCTAAGACCTGTGTCTGCACAAACTTTTGGGCAGGTTGCAGAAGCCCATCTTGGTTATTTGGTAAAAACAGCATCTGTACTGCTGCAAACACTGAACCTGGCTTAGCACTGTCTGCAGATGCTGTAATTCCACTTCTGCACCATTTTGTAGTCATGTGAATTACAGTCAAGCTCTTACAAGAACACAGTATGTCATTTCCAGTTAACACCTCCCACTCCTATGCTTGCCACAAAACCTCTCAGCTTCTACTATCAAATTAAGGCTTGACCAAACACAACTGCCCTGAAGACAGGCAAACAGAGCAGTAAAGCCGTGATTTTACAAGCAGAATGCATATTCCTTGGAGAGCCAAGTTACTCTGGTCCCCTGATCCTGGGGCCAGATAGAACTTGGTCTAATCAGAGGCATACTTAAAATTAGTCCAAACCCTGCTCTGACCTGTGTACAGCTACCACTGTTCTCTAAAATGGCACTAGGCAATCCCTGATGTATGCAGGTGCTTTGGTTTACCATCTACTCTAAGCCAAAGATGAAAGGATCCTGAAGGTGATTGTTGGATTCTGTGTATCTTATAACTTTGAATAAAACATTTTTGTATGTTCACAGAAATGAATCTTTTGAACTCTGCTGAAAGTAACAAAAACAAAGCTCAGCAAACAGTTTCTATGTAGTTCTGGGTTTTTTTTTTTTAAAGAAAAACATATTGTCAACAACATTGGAAGGAAGCAGCCTGTAATTCCATGCTGTTGCAAATTGTCAGCTGCCTTGCCCACACAAAGTGATCTAATTGGGAGAGCATTACTCCCCAGGAAAATAAGCCAGTAATGGCATACACAACCCGCTGCAGTGAGATGTAATTCTCCATCCTAAGTTCTTCCTCATAGTTTCACTATAATAACTTTTTAGTACCTAATTAATATGAAGAACCATGAGCAAAAGTTACTCCAATACTAGCAGGATCACAGAGGTCAAGGATATAGTGCCTTCTTCCCCCTTCAAATGGATATAGTGACACTTCCACTGAGATGCTGTGGCAGGGCAATGCTACTGGCTCTATCATACCTGGTTTGTAGCTAAAAATAGAGACCTTTTCTCCCTATCACCTTCCACAGACAAGAAAGTATTCATACTCAGATTATGTTGGGTGAGAAAGGGCATCTGGGATGAGCTGGAGTATTTAGAGGCATAAATTGGATTGACCCATTTTGCAGTTTGAATGAATACACAAGTGGTAAGGGATCTCATTACTGCTGTCAAAAGAGCAAGTTCAGAGAAGAACTGGATGAGCTAGAGAAACACAAAGCTATGCAAATGTAGGGCAACAGAGAAAGAGAGGTAAGAGGAAATGCCCCTTCCTGTTGTAAAAGTTCAGAAGCCTCCACCCTTACAGAAACCATTCTTCCTATGATAGCATCTAGTAAGACAAAGTAAAAAAGAACGAGCAAGTTTTAGTTTCTCAGAGAAGGAAAAGCTTCATTAAGAGTATATCATTACTCTTTTAGGAGAGGGGACTTATTACAAGGGCATGTAGTGATAGGAAAAGGGATAATGGCTTTAAAGTGGGTAGATTTAGGTTAGACATTAGGAAGAAATTCTTCACTATGAAGGTGGTGAGAGACTGGAACAGGTTGCCCAGGGGACCTGTCAATGCCCCATCCCCAGAAGTGTTCAAGGGTTGGATGGGGCTTTGAGCAACCTGGTCTGGTGGGAGGTGTCCCTGCCCATGCAGGGGGGTTGGAAATAGATGATCTTTAAGGTCCCTTCCAACCCAAACCATTCTATGATTCTATGATTAAATTTATAATCCATAAAGTACAGAAAACCTGGCAGTATTAAGGTAGATCAACAACGATCTAGTGACTTTGTTTTCTTAGTACATAAACTTCAAGGGTATTGCATGCACATGTAAAAGATTTTTTTCTCTTCAGTTTGAAAGGACAGCTTCAGACATCACTTCCGTGAGGTGCTCACAACCTGAGGCTGCACACGCTGAGCAGCGAGGTGCCTCAAGTTAGCATCTTTTAACAAGGCAAGACAGGGGATATGTGGGTTATTTCTTATAGGTTACCATACTTACAATGGGGCTAGCATTGATGTAGTCTGAATTGTCGTGGCTATTTTCCACTTTCAGACATATCCTGGAATGATCATCTGCAAAGGAGAAATAAGAGAAGAAAGTTTCTATTCAAGTATTCTATCCATTCGAAATCTATTCAAAGTCAGTTCATTTCAAGGCAGATAAACAGGGTAAATATCAGGAAGTATCTTTCCTTCTGACTCTCAACCTTGATACAGCCACAAAATCACAGCCTGATTCAGGAATGAATCACCAGGATATTTCAGAAGCTGAGTATTGGAAAGCATGTCTTCAGAAGATGTGCCAGAATGTTTTACAACTTCTCATAGGAAGAAGGGGAATCTCTGCTGCTCAGGGATTTAAAGATTTAAATCAGGCAAACCACTAGAAAAACCAGTATCATAGAAAACACTCCTGTGTTGGAAGGGTTGTGGAAGAAGTTAGCTGATGGACGTTG